TATTACACGCGTTATGGTTTTATTGTCCCAGAGAATAAATCTAGATATAACTTCTCATATGTTGTATTCCTCAAATTTATGACATATTATTTTGTCGACTTCTCGAAATTTTTCCTAGGCAAAAGTTTCTAGTTACTTTGTGGGTACCTACCTATTGAGTGTGTAATCAAAAATCCTTTTTTACTAAGCTCTAAACTGCCTTCTTAAAACATCCCTAAGATGCAAGTCATTGTTTCTTATTGTTTCTTGTCAAATCAATTTTGTAAATGTTCTGCAATTCAGGAAATATAAACTCATCGTAATACTGAAAGGATCTCTGAAAGCAAGGATTATCACTACTTGAAGTAGTGCCTTTACAAATATAAACTGAAGCATCATAACATTTCCTTATTGGTGCTGAACCCTTTAATCCCTTTTGACATGCAGTAAACACATGTTGGCTTAAAATTAACATAAATTTGACGAAAAGTGTGTAATAACTCAGGCTATGTGTGGATAATGACGCAATTTAATGTTCTGAAGATTTATCATTTAAAGGAGATGCACAAGGTGTTTAATATCAAGCAAGAAGGTTTCGTTTGCCTTCCCTTGTGAGAAATAACATCGGAGCATCGGACTGTCGGAAAGATAAATTGCAACCTAATTAGCACCACATAATGATCCTGTCTAGGTTTTTTTAGTCGGGTTTTGTGAAGAGAAAAAATTCAATTACTGAAACGTTACCGTATTTCAAACAAAACAGCTTTGATCTTGATGCAAGTGTACGAGTAATTAGCAATTACTTTAAATCAAAAGTGATTAATTCGTACCAGTAATTTATCATTTTGAGGCACTTTCGCCAATAAAATTTTTTTGCGTGGTTAAAAAGTGTTGGCGGTTAGTCTGCTTTCGCTTTTTCAATCTTCTTCTCCAGGTTAAATTTGAATTTCTCACACTCTCTGGGGAGCATAGGAAAATTCAAATTACATTCGAGACGTCCTCATTACAATATTTTCCAATAGAGTATTTTCTTTCAAAATGTCTTTGTCATGTACGAGGAAGACATTTGTCACATTTTGTCTGAACTGAATTCAGGTACAGTGAGCTGAAATTCAAGCAGCATAAATTAAAGACAGCGAGTGGTATCCGCAAAACCTAATTGAAATTATAAATCCTTCCGAATTAAATCGAGTCATCATACGAGTACTCCGAAACATCAAGCTCGTTTTGAATATTTGCATTTTTCAGGATTTTATTTCCATTTCATACGTGAATCCTTTTAGAGACATTTAACCGTTATAAAATTTTCAGGGAGCGCAATCTAAAATTACATAAATATTTAGTGAATGAATTGCGGACGGAAACATATTTGTTTCGCTACACCTAAATAAATAAAACTGCGATGTGTTGGCGGAGCTTTTAATTAAAGCTTAGCACAAGGTGTTGTTTATAATCTAAGAGGTTGCCGCCAGGTTGCACCAGAAAGTTTTATGAGATACTACTGCAATAGTTATGGCAAAGGTAACAGATTAAATGATTTATGAAAATGATCTACTTGGATTATCCTCCTATTAGGGAAGAACGGTTACGGGAACATTAAATTAATCATGCAATTCAGTTACACGTAACTGCAGGCTCTCATAAAGTATTGGTGGAATAATTTTATCAGTTAAGCTAATTTATGATACTTAAAATTAGTATAATATACAGGGTGTTTGTTAGTTAAAAAAGTGGTTATTGATAGAAATTAATTTTCGAGAGAACTCATGCAATAGTTGTTATTTATATCTATATTAACTACCCAACTCTTTTAGAGTTTTGGACAGGAACCATTAAAAAAAAGCCTCAATCCTCAACTTCCTATTAAAAACATTCTTATTGTTGTCCTTTAATAATGAAAGAAGCAAGAAAGCGACTTGTTTAAAGTTTGATCCCACTAAAGCCACAATTGTAAGTAAAAAAAAAGGTAAAAGGGTTGTAAAACCTTGGGAACTACTTAATTTTGTATTGAAATAGTAGTATTGTTATTCAGGAGAATGGTTTCATTTATACAGTTTTTGTCTCGTAGTTCAAAAGCTTCGTATAAATCACTGATGTTGAGACAGTCACTAAAATCCAAATGAATTATTTATTAGGCCGATACAAAAGCTGATAAAGGTATACGTGTCAAACACAACCAATGTATCGATTAATCACTCCGTAAGTTAATATGCAAATTGAATCGATTTTTGTGAAGTTTTATATTGAGCCATTGTTGGCAAAACTGCCTTTAACCAAATTTTTATGCAGTTAACATGTATCTAAATATTAGTATTTACATCATTTCTTATAATTTGTATATGGAATTTGAGTAATTTTAAAACTACATAATTATCAATTATGTAACTACAAAGATTTGACCTTAAGAATTTTTGTTTGAGTATCTACTGTATAAGCGGTCTAGATAAAAACAATCGAGAAATGATTTTTTTTCAAAAGTGATAATAATAATAATGGAAAATATTTAATTGGGCTTGCAAAATATCTAGATTTTATTTGTTGAGGTTTTTTATTTTTTTTTTTTTAATTTTTATCTTACATAGAAATGCAATTTATCAAAATCATTTTTGTCATCCTAATTTTTTGTTTTTTAATCAAGAATTTATATCTATTGTCTTAAAATTATGATACGTATAAAAAGGAGCATTTAAAGTATTACTGCAATAATAAAAAGTATTTCAGAATGTTGAAACAATTTGTATGCACTCTTGTAATCACTGTTGGTGTTGCCCAAGTAAGTTTTTCTCGCTATTTTATAATTATATTTAATTTACCTGCTTGTTTAGTTTGGTGCAACATATGTTGCAAATTCAGTCCAAAGTAACATCGTTCCTTACACTCTTTACGATCAAGCTTTACAAAAACTAGGAGAGTTGAGAATAATTGTCGACAGTGCTATTGCATCAGCCAAAACAAATCTCAATTCCGCCAGTACCGCTCATCATAAGTATGCCGACGAAAGTTTATCAGCTGCTGAAGTCAAACTCCAAGACGAAGCTGATAAAATAAATGGAGCTATAACAGACATGCAAAATATGGCCAACAGTGCTGGTGTTAATATTCGCTCATGCCTTCGACTTACTCAACCACAACTTGACCGAGCTTTACTAAATTCACAACATGGGTTGGCAACTTGTGTTTCCGATGCGAATAAAGAAGTTGATACCAATATTGATCAAGCCAAAAAGGAAGTTGGAGATGCGACAAATAATGTTGATGAACTTTTAATACAAATTAAAGCTTGCACTACTGGAAGTATCTTGTGTTTGTCGCCGGTTATAAGACAAATTGATGTCGATAAGGTGGAGTTGCCGGAAGTGATTGAATCTGAAGTTCATAAAGCTGTTGTTTTGGTGGACACACTTACTCCGAAAGTTGACCATTGTTCTGATAGTAATGTCTCCACATATGTCACTGCGGCAACTAGCATCCTTCAGACTATTGAAGACTGTGTTAATTCAATTGTGTAAATTTAAAATTTGCCGAAGATTTGTCTTAAAATTAAAATAATTAGAATTACATTGTTCTTCATTTTAGAGATTTAATAAATCATTTAAAGATATCAACAAACAATCTTCTCAACTTTTATCAAAGTATCTTTGCTGTTGATAAAAACACAGTATATCGCACTGAAAAATATTATCTTAAAACTACATTAAATCGGCGCTAAAAGTACTTGTTTTATTAAATATGATGTTTAAACGAGTTTTGGTGTTGTACTCATTTGTGCTAATCACACAGGTAAAAAATACAAAAAAATAATTAGCTATTCTTTAAAATTATTTTAGATTAACAGTTTTACGCATGTAAATCTTCAGGCCTTCATAGATGATGCTAAAGCTCTGTTGCAAAATCTCAATGACCTTGCTTTGGGAAATATATTAGTAGCCCATGATCAAATAAATGACTTAGGTTCAAACCTCGATGGATTTAGTGCAGACGTTATATTTAAATCAGAGCTAGATATACAAGAAGAAAATCAAGCTGTTAATGAAGAAATAGCCAACTTTAAAAGCTTAGCCGAAGCTGTAAACAAAAACATTTCTGAATGTCTTAATGGTAATGAAAAAAAACTAACTGAATTACCTGAAATTTATCGTAAACAAGTAAAGGAATGTATTGCTGATGTTCAGAAAGAGAGTAACTCTATGCTATCGCAAGCTTTTTATAATGTTGATATTTTAATGAATCATGTGCATGACTTGAGTTTTCAACTTGGACAATGTCTTGAGGATGATAATGAATGTATTTCGGCAGTTGTTGATAAGATAAACAACGCCATAGAAAATATACCTTTAAAAATCAAAGCTGAAGTAAATACAGCAAATGAAGAAGTGGAACTTTCCCAAGCGAAAATTCAACAATGTGCAGATTTGGGAGTAGCTGGATACGTAGAAGGTGTTACAGATATCATGAACGATGTTACAGTTTGTGTCAATGAAATTATTTCATCATTTATGTAATCTAAAAAATTATACGGCTAAAATATATACTAAAAATGTTTTTAATTTATTATAAATATTAATGTTAATAGTTATTTACGATAAAGTAACGATTCATATAACAATGTGAGATAACAAAGTTGCCAAACAAGGTAGAAGATTACCGAACATTCTACTATCACAGGTAATAAGAAGTTACTACACGAATATAGTTTAAAATACTAGTATTTTATTTAGTTTAAATATTTTTAAAATTGAATAAAAAAAACATTATGTGACAATAAGCAGTCGGCATTTTTCTGTCACTATGGATTGAGTTTCTCTTTATGTCGCTGTGGATTTTACTTTAAAGCACTAGAGCAGTATAATACCACTTTGATACTCGTTTAAATTTTGCAAAACTTCAAAAAAATCCATAGTAAAATTTCATTGTTTGAACATGAAATTTATTAAATGTACTCGTATATGTTTTGTGAAAAATTGTTAACCCAATTTTATCGTTTCATACGCTGGTAACAATGACATAGACCGAGGAAGTCTTAATTAGTCCAATTGATACGTAAGTTTTTAAGTACCTACTAGAAATTTCTATCTTCTTAGATTAGCGTGATGTAAATATGTACATATTGTGTTTTTTGCTTATCAGTTCAAGCTGTTTGCATCTTAGTCTTTGTATCTTTACAACTTAGTTTTGAGAAAAAAACAAAAACACTTCAAGTACCTATATCCTTATTTTTATCTCAAATTGTCAATATTATTTATGCTTTGTCAAAATGTAGTTAAAAGCTGGGTTGGGGTCTAAAAAAGTATGTAATTTTTATAGAAGGATTAATTTTATAATAATGTTTGTTTTAAAAGCCCTCATTTCGTTAAGACAATAGATTTAAAGTGAGCTTTCGGGATATTTAAAATGTACATGTGAGAACTTATCTTGTACAAATTTAGTTACTGAAAGTCAAAGTAGTTACAAAGTCATGTCGCCAATTGTAAAAAAATTAGATTAGATAAAAAATCATGTTTCGGCAATCAATTACCATCATCAGCCTAAATACAGCTGAAACCTGTTCATTCTACGACGTTAACTTATTAATTTTTTTACAATTTGCCGAAGCGACTTTGTTACCTTTAACCCTTTCAATTTTATCCAATCCCCTCAGAGAAATGAATCAAACTCATCGTTTAAATCTAGTTACATTATCGAAAATGGAAAAAATTAAGTATTATGCTTGGATTGTCTTTTAATGTTTATGTTACAGTGAAATTTTTGTAATACAACTTATTTATTGATAACAAAATAAATTAAAAAAATTAATTGTTGTTAGGATATCTTAATCAGGTTTTAGGTTTTAAAATAATTCAAATTTTTAGCTGAAAGTTTGAAAAAAATTAAAAAAAATTAAAAACTTTTACTGAACTTTATTTACGAGTTCTTGTTATTTTTTTATCTGATAACTTGCAGTAGGTATTGGATTGATCAAGAGCTACTTAACTGGCTGTTATATAAACACTCGTCTTGATTTTTAGTTTAGTAAAAATGAAAATAATGGCTCGACAACTAATTCTTTTATGTGGCTTGTTTGCTGTAAGTACTCAAAAATGTAAGTTAATTTGAATAACTACAATTTTATTTTAATATAGTTTGCAAATGCTAAACACTTTGCCCCTCGTGATTTGATTGATGAAGCAACGCGACAATTAGAAGAACTCAAACAAACAATCCACGGCGATATCCTCGTAGCCCATGACGATATCTCTGGTTATGTGATTGCGTTTAATACATACGCTGATACAAGTTTTAAACAAGCAATCGTATCTTTGCAAGAAGAGGCCGAATCAATCAGTTCACAGTTGCAAACAGTCAAAGATTTGGGACATGCAGCGGGAAAAGACATTTCTCCTTGCACCAAAGTCCGTGAACCATTTTTGAGAGGTTTGCCGGGACATTACGCTTCAGCAATAAGAAATTGTTCAATGGGGTTGATAGGAGAGGCTGAAGCCATTACTAAAAACGCTAAATACATCGTGGATATTACCATTAACCAAGTCCATCGTCTTGAACATCAACTGGCTAATTGCAAAGGAGAAATATTATGCATTTCGCCATTGCTTACTGACATTGAATTAAACAAAATTCGGCTACCACAGAACATTAAAACTGAAGTTCAAGCAACTCAAAGTGTTTTGACCACTTTAAGAGTTTCGGTACAATCCTGCGGAAATGACCATATCGCCGAATATACAACAGAGGCTTCCAGCATTCTTAATGATATCATGACTTGTGTTGATAGGATTATTGGCTAGATTTTATTATTTGTTTAATTCGTTATATTTAAATAAAATATATAGGTATTTATTAGAAAATAATTCGTAGTTTTTGTTTCTCTGATAATAAAACCTGTCCAATTTCGAATTTAAAAATGTTATCAATCCTTTCTGTAATAATTATCTATACAGGGTGATTCACGAGGAATAATGAGCCTGACCAAATTATCGATGCAACCAACATTACATTTGTCGCAAAGCAACTTGCGAAAAGTAATGGTGGTTGCATCGAGAATTTGGTCAGGCTCATTATTCCTCGTGAATCACTTTGTGATGTATTCTCACACTATAGTTTCTATGTAGCAAAATTGAAAACTATTTTCGTAATCAGTGTAATTTTGACCGTAAGTAACTACATACATAACTAAAGTATTACCTTTTTTGACTAGACTTCAAGTGCTTCATTTATCACATCTCGCGATTTGATAGATGAAGCCACGAAACTACTTGAAGAACTAAAAAGTAATTTTCTGGAACAAATTCTTGTGATTCATAGCAATCTCAAAAAAAATGCAACAAAATTTCAAAGCCTATGGAGTAAACTTGACAGAATCTGCTGTACTAAACATACAACAAGAAAAAGATAGGATTGACTTGCAGTTGCAGACTATTAAAGATTTAGCCAAACACAAACACAATTTAAAACCGACACACCAAACATTAATTTGTTTTTTTTTATAAATTAAAGTTTGGTGTGTTGAACGTAAACACTGAATTTCCAGAATTTCCAGATTTCGATGTATTTGTTATATGTTCTAATTACGTTTTAAGTGAATGATCTTTGATATAACACAGTACGTAACTGTGGCATCGACAACTCATTTAAATTGCGAAGGTTGGTTTTGACGGTGAGAACGCTTTTTCTAGAATGAAACTTACTCCTCAGGTAGAAAGGTGTCGATGTAAAGAATAATCGCCAAATTGCTGAGTTAATATTAGAAATTGACATCTTGTTCGATGATGCTCGATATATTGTTGATATTTCCATTAACAAGGTTCATGATATTGAACACCAAGTTGCTAACTGCAGAGGAGAAATTTTATGTATTTCACCGTTGATTACTAAGATCCAGTTGAATAAAACTCGACTTCGTCAAAACATTAAAACAGAACTTCAAGTTGCCGAAAGTTTAGTAAACACATTGAAGATTTCTGTTATCGGCGTTTCCGAGCAAAATGCAGCTCAGTACAACACGAGTGAGGCCTTTTCGATTTTTATGTATAACAACTTGTGTTAATAGAACAATTGGCTTAAGTGTTGTAGTTATTTTTGTAAAAATATAGTTGTAAAATAAAATAGTAACAAACTTAACTTCTATTGTACTTTGTATGTAAATCTTGATGATTCACTTATAATTTTTTTATCTGATAATTTGTAAAAATTTTAATTAATTATCTCATAAGAGCTACTTAGCTGGGTACTATATAAGCACTCCTCTTGACTTTTTGTTTAGTAAAAATAATAATAATGGCTCGACAACTAGTTCTTTTATGTGTCTTGTTTGCTGTAAGTATTTAAAATGAACGTTAAATCAAATACTAACATTTTTATTATAATAAGATTGCAAATGCTGAGCATTTTGCTCCTCGCGATTTGATTGACGAAGCAACGCGCCAACTAGAACAACTCAAACAAACCGTCCACGGCGATATCCTCGTAGCCCATGATACTCTGAGGAATTATGTGGTTGCTTTTGATACATTTCTTGATACCACCCTTAGAGAAGCAGTCGTATCTGTTCAGCAAGAAGCCGAATCAATAGATTCACAGCTGCAAACAATCAAAGATTTGGGACATTCAGCGGGAAAAGACATTACTAAGTGTACCAAGGGCCGTGAACCTTTTTTGAGAAGATTGTCGGGACATTACATTGAAGCAATAAGTAATTGCACACATGGGTTGATGGGTGAAGCTGAAGCCATTGCTAAAGACGCTAAATACATCGTGGATATTACCATTAACCAAGTCCACCGTCTTGAACATGAACTGGCTAAATGCAAAGGAGAAATATTATGCATTTCGCCATTGCTTACTGAAATTGAATTAAACAAAATTCGGCTACCACAAAACATCAAAACTGAAGTACAAGCAACTCAAAGCGTTTTGGTCACTTTGAGAATATCAGGACAATCGTGCGGGAATGACCATATTGCTCAATATACAACAGAGGCTACCAGCATTCTTGGTGATATCACAGCTTGTGTTGACAGGATTATTGGTTAGATATTGGTATTTGTTCAATTTATATAATAAATAAACCAGTATTAGAAAATGAGACGTAGTTTTGTTTTTCGATGATAAAATCTGTCTAGATTTAGGAATTCGAGATTATATCAGTTATTTGCGTAATAACTGTCTTTATATAAGGAGATATATTGTATTCGTAGTATTCTATTTAGTCAAATTGCGAACAATGAAGCAAGTTATTTTTGTAGTGGGTGCTATTTTGGCTGTAAGTAACTACTTAAACAAACCATTCTTCAAGACTCATTTGTTATTATTTTTTGACTAGAGTTCAAAAGCTTTATTTATCACACCTCGCGATTTGATAGACGACGCTACGAAACAACTTGAAGAACTAAAAAGTATTGTACAAGGACAAATTCTTGTGGCTCACAGTGATCTCCAACAAGTTCAACAAGACTTTCAAACCTATGGAGCCAACTCGGCCGAATCTGCTGCGGTGAACATACAACAAGAGAAAGATACGATTGACTCGCAGTTGCAGACAATCAAGGATTTGGCCCATTCCGCTGGTAAAGACGTTTCTGCATGTACCGACATCCGGGAAACAGTCCTCGACAGACTTCCTCGCAGTTATGTAGATGAAATGAACCGCCACATCGCTGGTTTAATATCAGAAGTTGGTACTATTTTGAGTGATGCTCGATATATTGTTGATATTTCCATCAATAAGGTTCACAGTCTTGAACACCAACTTGAAAAATGCAAAGGGGATATTTTGTGTATTTCGCCGTTGATTACTGAAATCCAGATGAATAAAATTCGACTTCCACAAAATATTAAAACAGAAGTTCAAGCTGCCGAAAGTTTGGCTGATACATTGAAGGTTTCTGTTAACGACGCTTCTGAGCAAAATGTAGCTCAGTACACAAGTGAGGCCTCTTCGATTCTTGGGGATATAACGGCTTGTGTTAATAGAATAATTGGTTAATAAATTAAGTAATTTTTGAAAAGTATAATTATGAAGTATAATAATTAGAAAATAAAAAAACCGTGTTCATTTTTACTAGATGCCTATCATAAAAAGAAAAATTTCGTCAGCCTATTATTATGAATCACACTTGATTGTTAAATTAATTGAAATGAAGATTGATTTTTATCTTCTATTGTTATAGCTGGTGTTATCTGTATCTCTTGTCTTGATCAAACTTTTATCTATATAAAATATTTGGAACATTAGTATTGGAAAAGGTAATAAATATAGAGCCGTTTATTTTTTTATAAACCACAAGATTAAAGAACAGGCTAAGGATTTAACTAAAGGGTTAGCAACAAAGACGATAATAGGAATACTGAACAAGTTTAATATCTTATATTAAGCAAACTTTTAATAACTTAATTTTGAGAGGCTATAAATATATAAGCCGGAGTAGTATAAATCAATCTTAGATATTAAGATGAACACACAAATTTTTGCAATAGTAATCGCCTTTTTGGCATATCAGGTGAGCAATTCATCTAGAAACCGTAATTGTATGTTTTATTAATTGAATAATCTAGGTTAATTCAACTGAAATTAAAAGCCTTCGCAACATAATCGACGAAGCAGAAAAGCAGCTTAAAGAACTAAAGAGTATTGTTCAAGGCAACATTTTGGCAGCTCATAACAATCTTAAAAGCCTAGAGTACGATTTTTTGTCCAACAGCCATAATGTCATCACGCAAGGAGTTGTTTTAATCCAACAAGAATCAGAAACTATCAACGACCAAATACAATCTATTAAAGACCTAGCACACGCCGCTCATAAAGATATTTCGTTTTGTACCGACATTCGTGAAGAACTTCTCAACAGATTACCGGCTGAATATGGTGAACAACTCAGACAATGCGTTTTTCATTTGAATCGAGAAGAAGCAAATTTTGTGTCTGAAGCAAAGTATGTGATAGATATTTCCTTCAATAAGGTGCATCATCTTGAACATCAGTTTGAACAATGCAATAGGGAAATTTTATGCATTTCACCACTGTTAACGGAAATTCAACTGGACAAAATTCGTTTGCCTCAGAATATTAAAACTGAAGTTAGTACAGTTGAAAGTCTTTTGACTTCTCTTAAAACATCGGCTACTCAGTGCTCAGATAATTTTGTTTCCCAATATACCAGCGATGCTAATTCCATTCTCCAAGTTATAATCAGTTGTGCAAACAGAATTATTGGATAAAACTGTAATAAATCTATTTTGAACTTATACACGTTTTATTTATTGGCAAGCTAAGCTCTTTATTGTATGTTCCTGATAGCTACAATTTATTTCTATATAAGTAATGGCAACACTGACTTTTTGAAATTAGTAAAGCAACTATGTCTGGACCACATTTGATTATTTTGTTGTTGTGTTTGTTGATGGTTCAGGTGACGACAGTAGATGTTTGTTTTAGATTTTTTAACGATATGTTTACATAGGTAAAGTGTTCGCTTATTGACGATGCAACAGCCAAACTTGAAACTTTACGGCAAACTGTATTAAGTTCCATAAAATCATCTGAAAATCACCTAAATGACCTAAGTTATGACTTTGAAGTTTATGCAGTCAATGTTGAAACAAAAGGAATATTGTCAATTCAGAACGGCGAGGAACAAGTCACTTCTGAACTCGACGCACTAAAGACATTAGGAGAGTCAGCTAGTGTTGATATTTCTTATTGTCTTGGTTCTCGTGAAGAGTATCTTATAAATTTACCAGGAGTTATTATCGAAGAATTAAAACAATGTATTTTGGGTGACGCTCAAGAAGCTTCCAAGATTTTAAGTTCGATCCAATACATAATAGACATTAAAATCAACAGAGTTGATGCTCTTGAATTCCAACTTGACCTATGCGATCCTGATAGTGATGCATGCATTCAGCCGATAGTTAAAGAGATAGAATTAGAAATGGTAAACATCCCCAACAGCATTGCAACGCAGATTGTAAGAGGTAATGGTCTTTTTGATGAATTAAAAGTGTCAGTTCAAGCTTGTTCGGATTTGAAAGTCAGTCAGTATAGCAGCAGTGCAAGTGTTGTTCTCAAGGACATTACTCAATGTGTTAATTCGATCATAGGTTAGTTAAGTGATAGATAATAATCTTTTATTGTTTTGTATTTTTATCGAGAGATAATGTACTTGTCTGTTCACAATAATAAATTAGTTTAACAAAGTTTATAAGTAACGTAAAATAAGTGTTTTCTTTAATGGCTTTGCTCTAAAGCTGAGGTAATTGTCGCAAGTTTACTCTTGACAGGTGGAGTCTCTGAAACAATACTGAAAGTTTGTTTATTGCGCTTCCCTAGTTTGACTAGAGACGTCTAGTTGAAATTAATGTAAGCAATTTTAGATTAACTACAATATTCACTCACTAATTCCATAATTGAAATGTGTAAGTTTTAGTTTTTATAGCAGTTTTAAAATAAACATCAAACTACGAAAAATGGCGAGGAAGAATGACAAGGGTAAATAGAAAAGCAGATCTGTATGTACATACATCTCATTTTATCAAAGCCAACACCAAAATTTCATTGCCGTCGCTTTTACACCTCTCTCTCACTTAAACTAACCATATTACGCCATCAAAGGCTCCACTATTAAAATTTTTATTTTCCTATAGAAATGACATTAGAAGACAAAATCAATAAATTTTATGAACTGATTGCGTTTAATTACGCTTGTTGTAATTAAATTTTCATGGGTGGGTGGCGCGTTACTATTGAAATTAATAAAAAGCTTGAAAAACAGAACGAACTTGACTGGGGAGTTATTTGCAAGAGCTGCATTCCGAGTGGTCTCTTATAAATTGAAATTTCCTGAGAGACACATTTGCTGTACACGTAGGAAATCCCAATTTATTATTTTAGGTCTGCTACATGCACTGCATTTCCATAACGGTGAAATCCGACTAATGAGACTCTGGACTTTCAAGTACCGACAAATTAGCTTGAAACTTGAAATCCTTTTTTCGCAAATGGAAAATATTTTGAGTCTGTTTTAATGTCGCCATGGTTTCGGCACGAATCTTTGGCTTATTTATCAGAGTAACGTGTTTCAGCGGATGAGAATCTATTAAAACGGGAAGAAAAACACCAACTTGTAGGCGTTGCTTAAAAGATAGGGCTGGTGTTTGAATACAAAGTACTCTTCCTAACTTAGGTAATACGATAATAAAAAGTTATGACAACTGTACTAACCCTAAAAAAGTTTTCAAAACCAATGCGGATGGTTCGCTGAAACTCCTGATGGAAATACTGAATAGGCACTTGCTGTTTCCGTTTCCCTGTTTATGCTTTATCACTGCGTTTTCAATTTAATTTACATGTCGTGTGGGGGCTAAGAGAATTTATTAGGGAATGACACAAAAGGAAGTGGAGTTTGAAATTGTTGTTTCTGTCATTTTTGAGGTGTTTGAAACTATTTACAGTCGATTATTAATAATTTAGGGAATTCTCGGCTTTCCATGCCATGTAATTTGCTTTCAAGTAGGACAGAAAGGACAAAAAAGAATTGGAGCATGGACATTATCTCTAATGAACACAGTTTTTGGAATAAACAACAGAATTTTTAATTTAATGTAACAGATATTTTGTTTACTTTTATTAAAATACTGTTTACTTGATATGATTTTATAATCCAAAACTGTTCCATATTCCATTCTAAATTGATATTTATGGCAAATTATGATCTCTCATCTGTGATTTAACATTGACATTGCAAACTGTAATGAAATAAGTTTTATTTTGTAATGTAAATGTAAATACAAAATAAATTAAATTGCTGGCGTGTGTGCGAAAGCTTAAAGCACAGGTAGATATATTCAAATTGGTTCAACCAAGCACACATTTACTTACTTTAGGTGTACGTAGACAAGGGATGCTAGTTTACGAAATTACATTAGACAGGGAGCTAGATGAGAAGGATTGATGTTAAGCGCTACCTGCAAAAGCACCACCAACACATTTTCAGCAGGAATGAAAATTGTTGGGGATTTAGCTGTATGTTAATAATATTATTAACGGGAATAATGGATTTGACGATTAATAAACATAAGCCGCCTAATTAAATACGGTAATAAGGTTGAAATTATTTGCTGAAACTTGTAAATAACGAGAGGAAATTAAAATGAGAATATTCAAACGTTTCAGTGGAGACTACACATGGACTTTTCCATCTGGGAGAACAAGCATTAAAGGATTATCAAATCAGCATAATTGTCTGGAATGCAGTAAAAGATGTAAATATCTGAAGTGTTGACCGAAATAGGTTTGTAAAAAGGTGATGAGATGGATCATAATAATTCCCAAATCCATTAGTACAAATCCCTCGGCTTAAAATTTATTGAATTGGCTTTCATTGAACAATTCTTCTTGTAGTTTTACCCTTTTAAATAAAAGCTTAACTAGGCATTATTTATTTAAATGTGGCTAGTACCGTTTAAACATTTTACGAGGGTTAAATAAACACTTTCCTACTTCCGAATAGCCATAAACGGATCTTTCGGGCTCAATAAGCCGATGTAAACATTGACTGAGTACTCTAGTTAGTGGCATTTCCGGCCCGGTATTATCTTCCGGACCTAAACATCGATCTGGTTAAAAGTTACAATGATTAGTTTTGTGCAAGAGATATAAATTGTAAGCAACGGAAAGGTGGGGGATAAAACTGCAGGGGTGCCAGCAGCAATTAAGAGCATAACTGGATTAGTATCTCTCGGTTTTCTTATTTATGGTTCAATTAACAGACTGGTAATTTAATAAAGAAACGAGGAATTTCTAGTTGCTCGATGAACGGTAGCCGCAATTCGATAAAATAAGAGGGGATAATCTATTTTTCTGTCAATCATTTTATTGATGTGTTAAAAGTTTCCAAATGTTGGTGCAAATGGATTAGCAAGGTTTTTGCTAATACAAATTTTGATCTAAACTCAGTGGAGCGAAAAATACAAGAACAAATGGATATTGGGGATAAATCATATTTGTTTCAGATTGAATTATTAAATTCCAATTTACTATTAATTGTAAAAGAAAATTAAAGTTTTATTAAATATTTGGTGATAACTCAGACAGTTTTGACATAAGTCTATTTAGGTGTTTGGTACTGCAAAACTCCAAATTGTAATTGTTAAACTGCAAATTTTTTGCTATTTACATTAATGCGCTTTTCTTTTGCAATACTTTATATACTTTTTTTCAGGTGGAGGTGCAATAAAGGCTTTTTCTGCCTTCTAATAAATTAGACTTTGCTCTTTATTTGAGAGCACTTTGCTAAAATCGTAATAAAATTTAAATTCTCTCTGGCGTGCATTCGAGGCGCCGGCATTTGATCAGAAATAAAAGTTTTTGCGATTCATTTCACTTGGTCCTGGAATACTCGTGAGTAATCCTTTGAAGTCACCGCCCACATCAATTTGCCTGTATCGAAATCGATAAGAGATGATCTTGAGAGTTTGTGCAGCACATTATTCACCGAAAGGCTGCACAAATGTCTCAATTTGAATATGTAAATCCGTTTGCTACCTGACACTGCCTGATTTTCTCGCCACGTTGAATGGTTCGGCTCCGGGTCTATTCAGATTGCGTTTCCAGGACACACACGAAAGATCCGGGCAACGTCTGCCCACAATTTGCGTTCTCTTCTACATATCAATTGGGAAACTTTCCTCCGGACTAGATATAATTGATTGCTATAAGGCTTACGCAAGCCGGATTTGCATTTCGATTAGACGGGTTAGGATGAACCTCGTGCATAAGGAAAAGCTAATGCGTCGATTGTTTGCGTGTTGGGATTAAGCGATTTATTCGTAATTTAGCGGAGAATCTTGCACCCGCCAATTTCTAGCAGCTTGCGAAAATGTGTTGGAAGAATAACAGACGTCAACTCCGGAATTCCGGAGAAAGCTAAGCTATTCTGATGAGCTTCAAAGATCAGTGCTGATCCTTTGCCCTTTCGCGCTTGATTCTTTTATAGACGAGATTCTGGATTTTGTGGGTTACGAAATTAAAATAAAAATGGCGAAAAGCCACCGCAATTTTGTTCTTCGATATTGAGTTAGTAAAAAGACAAATATTAATTTTCCGAAATTATAAATAAAGTCAATTTTGTCTGAAGAGACAGAAATCGGACGTAATGAAATCGAATAAATTAAGCACAGAACAAACCCAATCTTTTGTGTACTCTAATTTGAATTTGTAACGAATTGTTAAGTCGTATTCATATTCATGCTAACGTCATTGACGACAACCATTTTGACACAATGGCTTTAATTCATCGTTGAATTGTATTTTAATTTTTTCCCTTTTACCTACCGCAATTTATTTGCAGAGTTATCGGGAACGTTGTCAATGGCTCCCAATTAATTTGACGTAGTGTGTTAAATGCTGAGTTTTGTGTTTTGAGCCGTTTTGCTTTTATTGCTAACATTCGGTAGATTTATAATGCTGCTACTGTGACGTATATAATGACAGTGTTTAGTTAAAGAGACTATTTCACTAAATTTGCATACTGTACAGTGACGTACGACCCCACCCATATGCGAATAATAATAATCTTATTCTGCTCTAAGCCAGTAAAAACAAAACATCAATTCAAATAATAATCATTAATTGTTCATGACACGTTTTTTATCATTTATCAATGTCAATACACTTAAACCGATTTGCTGTTGTTGTAAAGAAGGCTCTGGAATATTAAACGTTGGACTGAGTTTAAATTATTCATTTGTTATTACCATCTCAAAATACAAGAGCAAACCTGAATTCAATATTATCTTTATAAATTTAAATGTGTGTGTTATGATACTGCCAACGAATGAAGCATGGAATTTCCAAAACTTGTTCGGAATATTAAACAATTCTGGGCTAAAAATTATAAACGAAATATTTTAGGTTCTACCTAATTACGAAGGAGTATTAAGTGACAGTACACTGTACAATGAAACATTCAATTGAGTATCGAAGGAGAAATAAAATTGATTAAATAAGGTCTTGCGGCAAGTCATAACGCAAGACAGGTTAAAACCGAAATAAATTTTAGATTGTCAAGGGGTCCGTCATAAACACACATAAATTATCAGACGCAGGAACATAAACAACGGCAAATAAGTCATGAACGTATATAGGAGACAAGACAATGCTAAGGTTGTAAATTCCGAGATCCTTCTACTAAATTATTAAAATTTGCCGCGTCTCGTCTTATCGGAGAAATACGTGTTAAAGAATCCTTCCGGTACTGTGGTCGTGATTAGGTATAAGGACAATAAAAACAGAATGGCTTTACTATCTACGAGTGATGGGGTGCGGGATTAAATATAATTTTAAATTGCTTTTTCAGGCTTTGATTCTAATTAATTTTCCTTTAGACGCATTATCATGCATCTTTCAACTAAAGACGCTTTCTAATGCAAAGTAGCAGACGCCATCTTTCCTAATTCGAATCTACAGCCAATTCATTTAAATACCTTTAGTTGCCAGTGTGATTTATTACTGGTGGTTTTTTGTTTTAGGTCAAATTTACGGTTAAATTAAAGGAAACCGTTATTATTTTTTTTTTTATAAAGAATTGAATTGTTTTGTACGACTTTTAAGCTTTTTAGGTCTTAAAAAATTATCTGTGAAATTAATTAATGCATGCAGCCGGTTAAAAAAATCTTCAAAGTAAAGATTATACATCAAAGAATTTCACAAGACATCATATTTGCACTGAAACATCTAAGAAATTGAGTCAATATACTTTTCTTTTTTATACTTTTTCTTATTATGCCAATTTTTAAAATACTCGCAAAGTATTAAAAAAAACAAGATAATAATTAATGCATGGGGCTATTATTTTTACAAGAGTCATTTGACAAAACTCTAGAGTGGGTTAGAGGCTTTTAAATAAATGAAATCGTTCATTGTGAAATCGAATTTTATCACAAAAAGTTTGCTAAAGCCTTGAATCACTTTAGTTTTGAAAATATCCTTTTTATATATTTACAGTCAGACTTACATCTTGTAAAGTTTTGTAAATTTTACGAAGGGAACATCTGAAAATTGGAAGTACAACTTAAAAATAAAATTTATATTTTCTGGTTATTACCAGCAAATACGTAAGGTTTTTTTGTAAAACATTTGCTGTCTTGAAATATGTCACTCTAATTATTACATTCTTTTTTCTCCCGTTGTTTATTTTTATTTAGAGACGTAGATCTGCATGCTAAACTTCTGACCTGTATATTTTATGAATCATAAACTTCCAGAGTTTTAGGATAAAAAAAAAACTTATTAATTTTTCTCGACTTACTGTGCATATTAAATACAGGTGTCCCGTTTATTTTTGTTACAAATTTAAACAATTATTGTACAAACAGTTTTTTTATTAATTTCAGATTATTTATTTATATACCAATATAGGAAATGTGGCTTTAAAAAGTACTACATTTGTGCTTTCTACAGTTTATCTTTGAAAAATATATATTTCCATGAAGTAACAAATAAACGAAATCAATCAGTAATATTTGTGCGAAGTCGCAACACAATTTTCTCTGCAATTTTCCATAAAAACTTTCGCGGTTGACGAGCGTTTCAGGAAACGACTGAAAGGGTTCATCGATTTTCAGCTTCCAACCTTACTCATTTCATTACTTTTATCCTATTTTTACACATTGTACAAATCAATAACACTTCTAGTTGATAGAAGATGTAAACCGGAAACTAATTAAGTTAGCTTTGAAACTTTTAGTGAAATACCTAGAATTTTAATATTTTCGTTAAAAAATCTATAAGGAATCTTGATGAAAGTAAAACGAATTTAACCTTTGACCGGATGAGATTAATGTTAATTGAATTGCGATGGTAAAACCTGAAAAAATTTAGATTCGGGCTGAAATTGAGTCTTGAATGTGAAAAGGGTCGTATGACACTTTGGACTTGTGTAAGTGACACATGGTTGGTTACACGCTAGTATCTTGCAACATTATCTACCTTCCTACAAGTACAATTAAGGACCATGTGAATTATTGCCAGGAGTTTTGTAAAATATGGGCGATGTCGTAAATTTAGGAAAACTCGACTTTTTCGTATTTAATTAAAATAATAATAATTATGACAACAATTATACGTGTACAGTTATCTAAATTGTCTTTTTAAATTGAAAACAAATATATATTTACTGAAAGCTTATAAATGTCGTAATGTCGATTATTATTTCGTTAAAAAAAGAAGCTCAGGTTTTGGAGCTTTGAGATTATCTTTTTACCTCATAAAATTTAATCACTTTGACATCATAAAAGAAGACTAACAAAACATGCTAAACAGTGAGGTTGTTTCGTTGTCTTAGAAACATAATCTGCAAATTATTTTCATCCGCAATGACTGAAAGAGGAATTAATAAATTAATGCGGAAGCTTTAAATGTGCCTGCAGATTCATTTTTAATTTTTGTTCATTTTGTATGAGTTTCTCATCTTTCACAGTTTTATTAAAAGAGTCGAAAGACGTCTTTATATTTTTAAATTAACTTAAGTTGAAGAAGTTAAAATTTTGTAGATAAATTTGTGAATAGTCTGTTTCACTCTTTGATAAACTCCAAAATAATGTTGCTGTTGGCATACATGGTAAACCTTCCAAGTGCAATACTCAAGTGTTATGACTACATGAGAGTAGTGTGTATTACAGGAATGTGGGGAGGTTCTTGTGAACTATCTTGCAATCGCATAGTTGAAATCCTTACTAGAATATAATATCTTTTCAGACAAAAAAATTACTGTGTAAAAATATTAATTAATTAATATCTTCATCTTTATACCTAAGTCTCTTGGAAATTGTCAGATGTCTTGTTAGTTTACATTGGGAACAGAAACAAAAGGATTGGAATCTGTGGTCATAAATTGCAATTAATTTGAAAATAGGGTTAATTTCATTAAATTGCAATATTGTGGTATTAAACCTGGGGCTCATTAAAGCCAGCCTAAACTATGCAACGTCGCTGAGCTTAATTAGCCTTGTTTCGGCAAAACCCTAGCCTGCGCTTTAAAACTTCCTAATTGATTTTGTTAAAATTTAGGAATTCACTGCTGAGAATTACGTGTTTATTAAAATCCAGGTGGGTTTCTTGTATAAACTGGGTCGAAGTGGAAGCAAACGACCTAAATGACAATAATTACTTTAAAAGGGGTGGTATGTCAGAAAAGCTGAGTAAGGTGTTCAGAAGACGATGCATGGACAGGACAGAATAAAGGAGCTGACGAGCCATTATGTGCAATCACAAGCACTCTTTCCTCCTCACCACTTTACATAAATTCAATCAATATCAGCCGGTTGTCGACGAGAGGGTTGGCCGCAGCTCAGCTGAGGCGAATTGCTGAGATAATGGCTCTTCGATTGCTGCCAATGACAGATATCCACCGCTAATTTATCGAAACGATTTTTATCCCGGTATCTCCCCAATTAACTCATATTCAAATCCGCAGCGAGTGGTAGCTATTGAAAAAAATATTTGAGAAAATTACTTGCGGCCTCAGCTTTTTATACACGAGCGAAAATTACAGTGCTATAACTTAAAAGACGTCGTTGTGCTAAGCTACGTCCAAGTTTCTTTGCGCTTGTTGGGGCTTTTGTGAATTGGGTGGTTAGTTTTTTGTTCATGTGATAACGCCTCGGAGAGAAAATATTGTGATCTATTACATCGCAACTTTCACCACAAAAATGTTTTACTCTTTTTACATAACACTTATAGAAAATGCTAGAATTTTTTAGGAAAATAAATATTCCACAAATGCAAGTAAACTATTCATAATTATTAGCGTAGTAATTAAATATTTTTCTTCTGAAGACCAAAACAAGTACTTAGAGATAATAAATAGTAGTAATATAGGATGTTCGGAAAACACATTGAAATATTTTTGGGGGGTGGTTTTCTAGGTCAAAATAAGAAAAAAAAAAGTTTTTATGGACTTATATCCGGAAATCTTTCCTAAGGAAGCTACAGCAATAACTAGACCTTGTAAAAAAATTTCGGAATTAAGGTCGGTGCACGGTATAAAAAAAGCCCGTTTTTCTCGAGCCAAAAAATTACTCCAGTTGCAATTTTTTGTAAAATGTCAACCAAAAAAGCATTTCCGTACAAAGGTCTATAGAAACTTTTTTCTTATTTTGATATAGAGAACCACTCCCCACAATATTTCAACGATTTTTACAGAAACCCTATATTTTTAAAATATACAGTGTGAAAGATCTTGTTTCTAATTTACGTAAAATAATGTTTATCGTAGTTTCTAGTCCCTCATATGCTAAGCACCAATAATTTTTCACTGATAATTTGCAAAACCTAATAAAGCATTAAATTAATAGTCAGGGTAGTTCAAAGGACGCAATGCATCAATTAATCTCTTATCGTTAATGAGTAACCATTAACTACACATAATTTTTACTTTGATAGAAAGTCTAAATAACTATTTTTACAGAGGTGTGCTTTTATGGTTTTAAATATTTTTATTTCATAATAATACTGTTTTATTATTAGATAAAAGCATAAAGTTTTTCTTTTTCAATTAAACGTCTTCAAAAAGCTTAAACAATTCCTTTACAGATCATAAATTACAAACGAAAGTTTTGGGTGTAGGAATTCATAACACTTGAATTAAATTAATTAACGTTGCGACAGATGTGTAAGAGAACAAAGTTTACTCTAATAACTTTGTGACAGGTAATATTTTTGTTTGTTTGTTTGTTTTAGTCAAACCCAACATTTTTCGTGCTTTATTTAAGTTTCTACATGAGTGATATCTACCCCAAAAACACCTTACACCGTCAATTTATATTATTTTCTCTACGACTGGAAAACATGTGCACGAAATACGAAATATTAATAGATTAATGTTCAAGACATGTACAGTTTACTGAAACAGCACAACAAAATAATTTATCTAAGTTGTAGGTATATACGTAATATGATGGAAAATATTTTTAAAAGAATGATGACATACTGGATCAAGTCAATATTATTTTAATATAATTAAAATCATCATATTGAGCCAATTTTAAATAGAAACCGTGTTATTGCGGTTATTTCAGCAAGCTTTGTTGTTGCTTTGTAACTCTGGAGTACCATAAAACTTGAATAAAATCACTTCGTGGATAATGTAACGTTTCAGATTTACACTTTATTGCGAAAAACTTG